TGGAGAAATGTCGATTTGAAAATCGATCGTAGGCGGGTAATAAAAATTTCTTGAGGGGTTTAAGTTGGACTAGTCAGTAGCGTAAACGCTACAAAACACGAGAGCAACCAATCTTTCTACAATATCTTTCGCGGAATTGCTAACTAGGAATGGACTTTCCGGCTGTTGTTCCACATACACCTCCATATTGAGTAGGTAGTTCGTACGTGCGTTAACTAGTGCATGTACCTTGATTCTATATTTCGATTGCTTATTTGGCATATATTGTCTGAAAGCACATCTCTCTCTGAACGAGTCAAGCTTCTTGTCAATTGTCAAAAATTCAGAGAGACAATATGCAGATTTGCAATTTTCCACAAACCTGTCGAAGAAACCTGTGATATGAGCTAGTTTATCTAACTTGACTCTTTCCTCGCGGTTTTATTTGTTATCGAATCTTAGGCATGAAATTAAAAATTGTAATCGACATTGGCTCATTGTGCAACGAAAAACGTCCATTCCTTTTCAGTCAGTGTTCCACAATTCATATAAGTGACGATGGTTATTTTTGAATGCACCTGACAGGTAAAGGAGCCCCAACACAGCCTTTATTTATATCACAGATGTATTCCCATAATGTGGAGTGTTCTTTAAACTTTCAGATTTTTCTGCAATTCGTTGGTTAGTATGATTAACCAAGTCAGCTATCATTTGTCCATCACTAGCATTAGCATTAGGAAGCACTCAATTGGTGTCTTGGCATGCTTTGCGTGATTTTTGACTCCCGGTAAATAAGTTTTCTGCTCTTGTTAGAATATTTCGGTTATTGTGTTCTTTGTTATATTTCGTTCCATTCTTTTCGGAATAATAACAACCTTGTGTGTTACTTTCTACAACAGCTTGCTGATTTCCATTCTCTTCGTCGGGTTCTTGTTCCATATCGGGATAATCGCTGTTGATACTTACATTGTCAATATTATCTTCTGTCTCTAAATCATCTTGATCAATAAATTCGTCTTCATTTTCACACTCTTCCCACATACGCACAAGATGAGCCTGCTCTTTTTCATAGTCGCCCATTATTTCCAAATCTACGAGAATACTAAAATTATGAATAACTCAATATCAATAGTATATATATATAAAGCCTTACCTCTGAAAATTACGTCGAAGTACACAATAAAAACGGAAAATATAAACTTGCGAGTTCCGACACGTGGGGTGTGACAAACCCCAGACAAATTGAAAGCGACACTGCTCAAGGTATATCTAGTTGCCGACTGACCTGACTGCATCAGATTGTAAATAAATATGTATTCGAAAGTTACTGAAGCGCTGTTGGCGTTTGGAGTGAAATTTGAACTTATAACGACTAGGCTCTGAACTCTGGGGTTTCTCACACCCCACGTGTCGGATGCTGGGTTAAAAACCCTTTCTCGCTTGTTTTGAAGAATTGTAATATCTTTAGCAGATACGCAATTTTCTTAAGTCCGTTTTATGCCAGTGGCGGCCGGTCAGGGCCGGCAGGGTCGGCAGTGCCGACCCACACCTTTATAGATATTATAGATGTTTTTTAATATTTAATTTAATCAGTATTTCAATAATTAAGTGTGGTAATTGATGTCATTTATTTCTGTAAAATAAATATAATATCTGTGAGATAACTAAATTGTATTCATGGTTTTTAAAAGAATTCGTCCAATCTGAGCGTTAAGTGATTCCCTGCGTAAGACACTCTTCAAATTAATGATCCGAAATCGGAGACATGCATCCGCCGGTGAATTCTTAAAAAGGCACGTTTCGGGGTTTCGGCAAGCCGATTCCAAGCTTGACGATTTACATGTAAAAATCAACGGAATATTAGTTGATGAGCAAACAAACATACATTTATTTCCATATGAATTTAATTACCAAGTACGGCAAATGTAAATTTGCCTATTCTTCACTTGGATCGGTGATTGGTCGTGAATTGTACCTTGCGAGCACGGGATGAAATGTTATTTCGGGATGGATAAGTACTTAAGTAGTGAAGTGAAGTTATATTAAGTGCACGAACTAGCTTTTCTTTGTGTGATTTATTTTTATTTTCTAAAGTAATACTGTGATACGTTACGTCTGTCGTTAATTTAAAGGCTAAAGGGTTTTTTGATATATTAGAAGTTTTTTTTAATTAAAGTGTAAACAAATTCAAATAAACAAATTCAAATAAATTAACCTAAAAAATGCAAGCTATGGGAGAAACTGTAAGTATTGATAAATCTGATATTGTAAATTATAGTTTGCAAAATGGGTTTTTATCTAATCCTTACGAAGAACAAATTGTTATTAAAAATAAGGGGCGTCCTTTGCCTAAAATGTCACGACTTATAAATATTAGTGCAGGGGGGTAAGGGAAGTAATAGAGCATTTTCAGATAATTGGTACAGCAAGTACTCATGGCTTACCGGGAGTGAAATAAAAAACAAAATTTTCTGTTGGCCTTGCATTATACTTTCGACAAATAGGGGCAAACGTCAAATCCGTGGTGTGAATCTGGTTACGATAATTATTTGATCTCCAAAACAGATCACTCCCATCTGCATTATAGATTTGGTCAAGAAGAACATCAAGTATGTTTACGTTCTCTTTAAAATGTTGAATAAATGGCTGAATTGTAGATTTGTTGCTTGACAGTTTTTCATCCGATATAATTAACAATCAGATAGAAATTCCTTTTTAAATTTATCCAGCCGCCCAAGACTAGCACGAAAATAACTTTCTTTGTAATTTTTTTTTTATAAAATTAGATTGCTGTTGCTTTCGGAATTTCTCCTGATACAGGGATGCGTTTAGAACGATCTTGCGTCAACCACATAAAGAGAGCGTGTCCCATCTTTGAACATTCACCAATTCTTATTGGTTTACGCTTTCCTGGTACAGATTTCATCGTCTTCACGTGGTCCACTATTTTTTTTTTTATTATTATTAAGATCGTGCATTGTAACACGGTCAACTAGATATTCTTTCGTCAAGTTGCAGGTGTTTGCTATTTCCATTTTAACTTTCAAAGCTAGAGTCTTGTGTTTTCGTTTACTTGACAATTTTAATTACAATATTCTCACTTAAAACAGCAGACAATTCATGAATTTTAAAATAAATTATTTAACCATGTACTTCCTCCACCTAAATAAAATTAAAACATATTTTTGGTAGACTAAGAATTTTAATTTATTTTCCTTATTTCAATAGGATCAGTTAATAATTCTTCTACTTTTACTTTTATTGTGTTGTACTGGTAGATATTTTCGAGTTTTGATTATTCCTAGAGGTAAATCTCTCGTGTATAATAAGTGGATAACGTCATTAAATTTGACCCAGTCAAATGCCTTTTTAAGATGCACGAAACATAAATATGCCGGTTTGCAAATCATTGAATGCTCAAATAATTATATAGCTGAATTCTTAGATATTGCAAAATTTCAAAAATCGATACAAGTAAATTAAGGATCCCACTCATAAGGCAACGCCTGGCAGATGAAATCAACAACGGATTAATGAATGCTAAAGAACAAATTCTGCAAAATACTGAGACGGAGAAAAAATGGTTATTAATAAGGACAGAAATAGAAAAAAGTTAAAAAGAAATTCTAATACCAACTAGATATAAAAAGAAGCAATGGATGACGGAAGAAATTTTAGATTTAATGAAAGAAAGACGTCAATATAAGAACAAAGATAATCAGATGTACAAAAAAGTGGATAAACAAATAAAATACAGAATTAGGAAAGCGAAAGAACAATGGTTAAAAGTACAATGCGTAGAAATAGAAGAATACCAGAAAAGTCATGATAGTTTTAACACACATAAAAAAATTAAAGAATTAACTCACAACAATATAACAAGAAAACCGGAATACTGACATATGCAAATGGGAAACTTGTGTTGAAAATTAACGACAAACTAAAGATATGGACAGAATACATCAATGAACTGTTCAAAGACAATAGAACAGAGCAGATAGAGATAGAAGTAGAAGAGGATATGGTTTTAAAGGTATTAAAAGAGGAAATTAAAATGGCATTAAAAAAACAGCAAAAATTGTATATAAATCCCTACCGAAATCTTAAAATGCATAAATGATGAAACCTCAGACATTATAGCAGACTTATTTAACTCAGTATACAAAACGGGACACATACCGAAACAATGGTTACTCTCCAACTTTTGTGCTATCCCTAAAAATACAAACGCTAAATATTGCAGTGAATAAAGAACAATATCACTAATAAGTCACATTCTTAAATTATTCCTGAAAATAATACATGGTCGTATAAATAAAAAACTGGAAGAAGAAATAGATGATAAGTCAGTTTGGGTTCAGAAACGGACTAGGAACCAGAGAAGCGTTATTTGCTTTTAATGTGTTAGCTCAAAGATGCATGGATGTGAATGTTGATGTGCATGTTTGTTACGTTTATTATGAAAAAGAATTTAACAAAGTAAGACATGAAAAATTAGTCAAAATTCTAAAGATAAAAAACATAGACCATAGGGATTTACGAATAATAACAAACCTCTACTGAAATCAAAGAGCACAACTCGTAATAGATAACGAACCCAGTCCAGAAATTGAAATCAGAGAGAGGAGTTAGGCAGGGATGTATTATACGGTATATAGTGAAGCCATTTTTGAAGAAGCATTACTATCTCAAAGTGAAGGAATAATAATCTAACGGAAGATCTATTAACAACATAAGACATGCAGATGACACCGTGATTATGGCAAGCTCTGTTGAACAACTCCAATTACTGCTAAACACAACAAACAGTTTCTGTGAAAAATATGGACTAAAAATGAATATAAAAAGACCAAATACATGACAATAACAAAGAAAACAAATATACAAACAAACATACATTTGGGAAATGTACCGATATAATGGGCTGATAAATACAAATATCTAGGAACCTGGATTTCAGACAATAATGATCAAACAACCGAAATAAGAGCTAGGATAGAAATAGCAAGAAATGCGTTTGTAAAAATGAAAACAATTCTCTGCAACAAAGATCTTAGATTAGAACTGAGAGTAAGAGCACTGAGTAAGATGCTACGTGTTTTCGATACTGCAATATGGATTTGAAAGCTGAACATTGAAGCAAGAACACATAAATAAGTTACAGTCCTTTGAAATGTGGTGTTACAGGAGGATGCTTAGAATAGCATGGACACAGAAGAAAACTAACACGGAAGTATTGCGAGAAATGGGCAAAGAATGTAAAATAATAAACACAATAAAAATAAGAAAGTTACAATATCTGGGACACGTAATGAGGGACAGCGATATGAACTGCTAAGACTGATAATACAGGGAAATATAAGAGGAGGAAGGAGTATAGGAAGAAGGAGAGTGTCATGGTTGAAGAATTTAAGGGACAGGTTTAAATGCAGTTCTATAGAACTCTTCAGAGCAGCAGTAGATAAAGTAAAGATAGTGATGATGATATCCAACCTCCGATTGGGAGACGGCACTTAAAGAAGAAGAATTCTTGAATATAAAAAAATGCATTATACAGTAAAACCTCCCTTAACCGAAACCTTTTTAACCGAAACATCGTTTAAACCGAAACTGCTGACAGTTTCAATAGTTTCGTCAATAAAATGTAAATTTTTATTGCAAAACGTAAACAATTCCATTAATTTCACTCACCGATTGATGCCTATGTGTGTTGGGAAATAAAAAAACCAAGAGCTCTAAAAGATATTTGGAAAAAAGCACTTCCAGTTTTTTATAGAAGCCAAAACAGTTCATGGATGTCGACCATTTTATTTTCAGAATGGTTCAAAAATGAATTCGTCCCAAACATAAAATCCTTTTTAAAATAAAAAAACCTTCTAATCAAAGCATTGTTGCTTTGATTTTGCCAACTTACCCTCAAAATCTACACAATAGTGATAATAGTCAGATTTTTGCCGGCGAAGGTCACGAGCTAAATTCAGCTGTTAGACCAGGGAGTAATAAAGACATTCAAGAGACATTATAGAGGAGAATTCTTAAGACATCTGTTATTACAGGAAACGAATGAATACAAAAGTGTTCCCGAAATCCTCAAATTTTCAA